TCACTCTTACCTAGACTGGAGTGCAGGGGTACAATCACAAATCACTGCCACCCCAAATTCCTGACATCAAGTGATCCTCCTGCCTCAGCCTCTTGAGTAGCTGCTACTACAAGCGCATGCCATCACACCCTGCTAATTTTTTAAAATTCATTTTTTGTAAAAACGAGGTCTCACCATCTTGCCCAGGCTGGTCTCAAACTCCTGGGCTCAAGGGATCATCATGCCTCAGCCTCCAAAAGTGCTAGGATTACAGGCGTGAGTCACTGTACCTGGTGAGAAACTCTGGCACATGACGTGAACTGCTTTGTATTTATCAAATGACATGCCAAAAGATAATAATCAATTACAGATATGAACATGATTGCTAATTTCTAAATCTTAAGACTTTTAGCAATGTTCTCCTGTTCATGATTCACAAAACTTGACAAGCTGAACCCATCCCTTGTTTACACGATAGGTTGAAAAGCACTGGACCAGATGAGGACACAAGTGTTCTAATCCCTACTTGTTCCGTTTCGTCATTTGCACCATCAAAGAGCTGGGCTAAAGCTCTGGTTCTTAAATGAGCTACCATGACACACTAATGTTCCAAAATCACCTGTCAAATGTGTCACACAAAATAACAGCAGTTTGGGATGTTTCAGAAGTTTGAGAAGGATATATTTTCTTCATTAAAGAATATTCAAGGCTCTCCCTGCCATATCACCATTCTGAACTGGAGCAAGAATACAAGTGGGAGAGCACTTACTAATCAGCACCAGAAATACCTATGTATTCAAGTGCCCCTCACGTGAATACCATGTGTACATCAGCAGAAAAAAAAGGTATAAAAGTCGCTAATGTAATGCCTTCAAGGCTTAAAATAATGAAGATACTATAAATGGACAAATACTCTCAAAGTATATATATTAAATACATACTGAAATGCACTTAAAAGAGCTATTTCCACATGGTTCAATCCATACTGACAAATGAGTACATACGCTGGTCTATTCTGGTCTCAGAACATCATTAATGATGTCTATTTTATTTTATTTATTTTTTTGAGACGGAGTCTCATGCTATAGCCCAGGCTCGAGTGCAGTGGTTCAATCTCAGTTCACTGCAACCTCCGCCTCCTGGGTTCACACGATTATCCTGCCTCAGCCTCCCGAGTAGCTGGGATTAATAACAGATGCTTTAAAGGAAACTCAACCAATCACAAAATGATCTGCTAACTGACTTAACTCCCTAGCAGTGTGAAAAATGTGTTACCCCTACCTGTACTAGAATGGGGGGATGGAAGAAAAGTAAGAGGTCTGGTGGAAAAGAAAACCACTGGTGCAATCAAGGGAAAGGCAGGGAAGTGAGAGCAGAGCGGGCCTTTACCTGGCACCTATTATGTCCCAAACTGTGCCAGGACCTTTACACACATTGTGCCATGCCCCATGACAGCCCTGTGAGGAAAGCACTATTACAACCTTCATTTTACTAACTGGGACACCCGAGGCTCTGCGAGCTGAAATAACCTGTAGAAGGTCTTCCCACTACTCAGTGAAAGGCTTGGGTTCACACCCAATTGCAAAGCCATAGTCTCTGTACTGCTACATTGACAAACCTGCCGAAACCACCAAGAAGTGCCACTTTTAGTTTCAGCACACAAACACAAATAATGGAAAATATTTGCTTTTGTTACACAGACACCACAGCAAACTGCCAGCTTTCATAAAATATAATTGAGGCCACACATGGTAGCTCACACCTGTAATCCCAGCACTTGGGAGGCTGAGGCAGGAGGATCACTGGAGCTCAGGAACTCAAAACCTGGCTGGACAACATAGCAAGAATCCATCTCTACAAAAAGAATTTTTTAATTAGCCAGGTGTGGGGGCGCATGCCTGTAGTCCGAGCTACTTTGGAGGATGAGGTGGGAGGATCACTTGAGCCTGGGAGGTCCTGGCTGCAGGTGAGCTGTGATCAAGCCAGTGCTCTAGCCTGGGCAAGAGTGAGACACTGTCTCAAAAATAATAATAATAATAATAATAATAATATACTCAGGGATGAGAACCAGAACTCTCAAATATGGAAAGGCCAAGCTTCTTACAGACCTATTTGGAAGCCATTCATCATTATGCTCCACCATGAGAGAGTTATAGCAGAAACAAGAAGCTGTGGGATTAGGATGAAATGGGTGGGAGGCTTGGAGAAATTGGAAAAGTCCATTTCTAGACCCCAGGTCAAAGAGGATAAGGACAGAGGGTCTTCATCACTTGCCAGGTCCCATCCTGTGTGGTCACATTCTAAACTACATCCCACCCTTGGTGACCTGTGGCAGGACAGGCAACTGTAGAGTACTAGTAGCCAGGAGACCTCTGCTCTCCCCTTTCCTGCTCCCTAGCAAGCTGTACACCCTCCTCAAGGACTTAACCTCTCTGGTCACAAGCCTCTCTTTCCCCCACGTCACAGAATGGGCTCGTCAAAAGGCCAAGGACTAGCAGTCTGAAGAAATGATATAAACAAGGGCAGGGACACAGTCAGTCCGGTACCCAGTGTCATGCTGTATCTACCGAATGAATAAGACTAAGTTAGCTTCAGCACACTTATTTATAAAAAGTAGAAAAGGTAACCACCTGCCAACCCTAACTGGTTCCTCTGACAATCAAATGTAATGGGTGGGACAAGCTATACCAGTGGATTGACATCGCTATCTAATAACGTAACAAAAATATCAGTGCAAGACAGAGTATTAGAAGGAAAGTGACATTCAGCAAGGTTTAGTGAGTAAACTAGATGAGCAACTTCACATTCACTGAGTGAATTCACATCCACTGTGGCATCTAGTCCACACTTTAAGTGTAAATTCCACTATGAATGACTTAAAACAAATCATTTCATCATTTGTTCTGAACCTGTTTCTTCAACTGTAAAAAGACAATGTGGGCCAGGCATGGTGGCTCATGCCTGTAATTCCAAAACTTTGGGAGGCCGAGGTGGGTGGATCACCTGAGGTCAGTTGAAGAGCAGCCTGGCCAACATAGGGAAATCCATCACTACGAAAAATATAAAAATTAGCCAGGTGGGGTGGCACGTGCCTGGATCCCAGCTACTGGGGAGGCTGAGGCAGGAGAATCACTTGAACCTGGGAGGCAGAGGTCGAAGTGGTGCTACTGCACTCCAGACTGGGTGGCAGGGCGAGACTCCGCCTCAAAAACAAAAAAAAGGGGAATGTGCTCCATCTCTTCTGTTTGTCCCCATCCAAATCCACGCTACCCTCACCTCCCTGTCCTGTGTCCCCGAGTATTGACCCCATGTACAGGTTTCCTGGCTCTCCAGCTTCCAGATGGGTCTGCCCAGCAGGAGGCACCAGCAGAAGTTTGGTGGGAAGAAGAGAGGGAGGTTAGAGTATTTCTTCCCCCTATCCCAATCCTTGACAGGAACCTGGGGCTGCATCCCTTGAACAAAGTTACCAGCAGCTCTCAGGTGCCCTCTCCACACAACTATTCAGAGCACTCCCTTCACCCCTTCTGGCCCAAAGATGCACAACACGTTCTGGAGTTACTAGCCAGGGATACTATACCTTCACTCGTTATTTCCCTACCCACACCTTTACAAACACAGTTGTCCCTTCATTGACTTTCTCTCAAATCATCCTAATTTAAATATGCTACCTATTTCCTGCTGAGATCCTGAATTATACAATACATACCACCACCTCATAAGGTTACAAATAAGAGATCATGTTATGACTAGGTGCCAGGCACTGGGCTATAGTTACAGTTACGACAATTACATTATGCAGAAATTATTGCTCCTAATCTGCAGATGAGGAAGCTGAGGCTCAGAGAAATTTAAGAAATTCGCTCAAGCACATACAAAAGTGGAACAGCTAGAACAGAGGCCTTAACCTCCAGAATCAGAAACCTTTCCATTTCTATTATCACCATAGCGGTCAATATTTTTTCTACAAGTTTCATCACCGCCATCATTCCTACATAACAAAATAAGATTCTCTTGCGAACGAGAGTTTATATTTCTACTGTTGGACGTGTGGTTAAGAGCGGGAGTTCTAGAGTAGGATCAAAGTACAAGGGCTGACTTGCAGGGAAGTGTTATCTTGAGCAAGAGACTTTCCTCCACGAGTCTGTTTCCTCCAGTAAAATGGGGATAGGTAACAGGGCTTCCTTCACAGGGTCGTGGCGAGGATTCAGTGGGATGACGTTTGCAAAGCACCAGGCACGCAGTAAGCACTCAAATGACAGGAACTACCGTGATGAAAGCGGGTTTGCAGCCTTGGCGGCTTTACGGCCGCTGAGCACTAGGAAGGCGGGCCGGAACCCGGGGACCTGAGAACCTGAAGGACTTGAAGGAAGGTGCCCGCTGCCCACCCCCTCCAGCCCACCTGCTCCTCAAGCCTCTCAATCTCCAGCTGGTTCTTCTCCTCCTCTTCGTCATATTCCCACTCGTACTCCCCGGGGGAGCTCTCCGCGGAGGAAGCCATGGCGTACTCATCCCCATCGCTCTCACTCATGCCTTCCTCCTGCTGATCCCACCCTGGCCCCATGGTCTTGTACGTGGCAGCGGCCACAGCCCGCGACAACACCTTCCTCCTTGTCCTAGCCGCCTTAACCTCATCCTCCTCTCCGTCAGCCTTGGGCCCAGACTTGGGCTCAGCCTCAGGTTCTGAAGCCGAGGATGCGGCCGCCGTCGCCATCTTGCGCTTCTAGTGACTCTCGGGTCTTCCCGCGGCCGCCGAAGACCCGCTGAGGAAGAAGCTGCCCGCGGCGTGCGCCTGATCAAAAGCCCCCTTTCTGCCATTGAAAGGGAAACTGGGAACCTCAGATAACGGAAAAATCTCCGAATACACTAAATTCATATTATTTTTACACCCTTGCAAGAGTTCCCATCATAGAAAAAAACTCAATAACATGGCATGCGTTCCGTCACAATTTCGGACAGAAGTTGGGTCTTTGGACAGGAAGTGGAGGCCACAGAGGAAGTCATGGAGCGAGAGTGATGTCTGTAGTGAAGAATTTGGCGCCATCTTGAGAAGGTCACAGTGATTCTTAAAATAAATGCCTTACTTACCGCCTAGTGTGACCTGGCGCTGGATTTAGTCTCCCCAGCAACTGCGCCTCAAACGGAGAGAAAACTGCAAGTCCTCGAGGAAGGATCGATTGCACCATTCAAAAGAAAACCGCATTTCCCAAAGAGATTTCTCCCCTTTATGTAAACGCCTGGTACCTAGCAGGCGTTAAAATACACGAGAGTTTTTTTGGTTTTATAAGATCACATACTGCAAACCAACAGTAAATGATTACATTAATAAGCACTTCTTTAGAAATTCTTAGTTGCTAGGCACTGACATATAAATTGAGTTTGCTGTTGTTTTAGAGAGAAACATAGACATATATTCATTTTTTTTTCCATCAGGACATGGTGTTTGTTTCCTTCTTAAGCTTCCCATGTTTGAGGTAGGAAAGTATTGATGTGTGTCTCGATCTCCATCTACCTTGCTCCCTCATTAGCAAGTTTAATGGCAGGAATTACGTCTGTTTTTGCTTTCCGTTGGATCCCCAGGTCTAGTATAGCGCCTTGACACATAGTAGGTACTCGACACAGATGCTGGCTTCATGATGAAAGAGTTGTCCTCGAATTAATACAAAAGGGAAGGTTCAGGCTCAGCGAGTTGGTACCACTTGTCTAGGGACACACAGCCAGGAAGGAACCAAACCAGGATTCTAACCCAGGATCATCCAAGTTCTAACTGAACCTAAGTCCCTGAGCGACCCCGGACGAGTGACTAAACCGCCCTAAATCTCAGCTTCCTTAGCTGCAAAGTAGGGTTAGGAAAAGTGGACTGGGTGGTCCTCTGCGCCGCATTCCGGCAGCGGGCTTTGTGAAAGCGAACTTGAGCCCCACACGGCAGCAACCTGAGGTCCTCTCCACCAGAATCTAGCACCCGAGACAAGACCTCCGGCGACTTCAGACCTTCCCGCTCCCGACCCCGCCCTCCCCGAGAGGCGTGGTCAAGGCGGGGCCAGAGCGCAAACGCTTGCACCGAACTGTAGGCGCAGGCGCAAAGCCTCGGTGAGTTCGGGGGCGGGTTCCCAGCTCGGAGCCGACTCGCAGACGCGCCCCGCCCCTTGGCGTTGCTCTGAACTGGCGCAGGCGCAGGCGTAGGCCGGCAAGATGGCGGCGGCTGGAGCGGGCCGTCTGAGGCGGGCGGCGTCTGCCCTGCTGCTCCGGAGCCCCCGCCTGCCTGCCCGGGAGCTGTCGGCCCCGGCCCGGCTCTATCACAAGAAGGTAGGGACGAACGAGGGGATGAGCGGAACGCCGACTCGGCGGAGGCCCGGGCTGGCGGGGCGGCCGCGGGGTGCTGCGCAGCCAGGACTAGGGGCCGTCCCCTCCCACGTCTCTGTCCTGACTCACTTTCCCTTGCTGCGCAGAGGCTGACCGCAGCTGATAGACAAACGACAGTTACCCTTCCTCGGGCGGCGACTTCTAGGGGGCCGTGCCGCTGACCGCGACTTCGTACGTCCCAACTTTAAATGCTTCAGCAGCCCAGGAGGCAGGGTCCTGTTGAGACTCGAGTTTCCGAGTCCGGCGACACACACCTCCGAAGTGGGCTCGGTCCTCAGCCACTCTGCCGCCCTGGCCAGGTGGCCTTGAGCTAGTCACTGCGCCTCTCCGCACCTGTTCACCCAGGTGTAAATGGGGGGCTCTCAGCTGTCCCTTACAGAAGATACTGTACGCGGAGCCCTGGCACATGGGCCCTAGCACCAGGAGATCGCTTCTGTTACTGTTTTAGGAGTGCACAGGGGAGTCAGGCTTGTAACCAACATGCGTAACCTTTTTGTTTTGTGTTGGAGGGTTTTTTTGGCGGGGAAGGAGGGATTGATGCATAGTTTACAACCCCTTGCCGACTGGTGGTGCGAAGTCCCCCAGACGTGAGACTTTCACTAGAGAAGCAAAGAATGCTATAAATCAACCTGGCACAAAAAGCCCCCAGATAAGATACTGTCCTGTAGGTCCTGGTGCTTGGAGTCAAAATCTGTAGTCAGATGGGGAGGGAAAGGGAACTGGAGGATCGGGTACTTACTACTAACCAGTAACCAAACCTCAAGGTTGAGGCCTTCTGTGTGGCAGTTTAAGCGGATGTTTATCCTGGTCTGGCTTCTGCCCTTTCGCCAAGGCCTTCTTCACTCCTCCCCCACCCGGGGGTGTGTTCTGTTGGGGGTACACTGAAGAAACTCGGACACGCAGCGTTTCGGCAGCCAGGGTGCGCTGCTGCACCAGGGTGATGACAGGCTCTGAAACAGAGTAATGGCACTGTTTTTATTTTAAAAGACACATAAACATACACATTCCATAGCATTGTTCCCTCTGTAACAGTCACCTTGAGGCTTCTAAGAAAGCTTTCCCTCCCTGGGCCATAGTTATTTTTAGAGTTTTTAAATAGTAATCATCTTTTGAGGATTGGCTTTATTTGAAAATAACAAAACTGCTGTTTGAATTCAAGTCTGGTGACATAAGTGGGTAGAAGTCAAGTATCTGTAAAAACCCTGTGGAACTAAGACATGATTTCGCTGATTTTTTTCTCTAGGTATCTGAGATCTGTGAAGTAGTTGTAGAGGAGACACAAAAGGAGTTCGGGTCACAAATAGTTCTCATTGACATGAGTGTAGAGCTTTCTACTCAGGTGAAATTTGGTATTTAGTGATTGCCTGCCGGGTTCAGGTTGCTGACTTCGAGGAGCTTACCATCAAACCAGGGAGACCAGTACCAGTGGCGAGTGAACATGACTTCTCTTAACCCTCTCATTTTAGGTTGTTGATCATTATGAAAATCCTAGAAACGTGGGGTCCCTTGACAAGACATCTAAAAATGTTGGAACTGGATTGGTCGGGGCTCCAGCATGTGGTGATGTAATGAAATTACAGGTATGGCTAGTCTTTAATAGTAATAACAATCCCTTTAAGTTTACAAAACACTTGCACATACAGCATTTCATTTGGTCTCCATCTTTATTCATATGAGATGGGATGTGTCCGCATTATACGTGATTGGAGCAGGGCTCAATCGTGGCTCTCCTGCTAGGCTAAAATACGGATGCCGACTTTTTCTGAAATAGAAAAATAATGTCATTTTTTTTACTCATTGTATCAGTTTAAATTTCAACTTCAGCCAACTAAAGAGTTTTGTGAATTTTACTGATCAAAGGAAAATCCCAGTGATCTAGCAGTCCCTGGTGAGACAAGAAACACAGTAAATTAAACCGGTCCCCAGACTAGGGGCAACATGAAAATAGTGTCTAGTGCTTTGGGGAAACTGTAGTTGTAGCGCCACTCTGCTGCTTCATGGTGAGTGGGCAGCCTGCCAGAGGTCTGCATACCTATCTTGGAATACAGAAACAAAGCAGTAGGAAACCTCTTAGTATAATCTGCTGCCCAAGAAAAAAGTATTAACTAGAGACCTTTATTGTGGACTCTCTCAGTGTTTAAAGAGGCAGATTGCCCCAGCAGCTGTGAGCAGACCCTCAAATAGAAGTTCATAGTCAAAATGCAGGCCAGGGTTGCAAAACAAAACAAAATTGGGGTGAGAAACATATTTTTCAGCTGATCTTTATCTGTTGGGCCTGGATAGTTGTTCCTACATTTCACTTTTCATCACTGAGCTCTTTTGAAACAAGGCAAAATCAGTAATGAGTGCCATCACCTAATGTGGAAAGCAAGCCCGAAACCCTTGGGGTAGGCCCCAGTTAACCCGCTTGAGTGCCAGGTTCCAGACGGTGGCCCCAGAACTCACCACTTAACTCTTGTCTCTTTTCTAGATTCAAGTGGATGAAAAGGGGAAGATTGTGGATGCTAGGTTTAAAACATTTGGCTGTGGTTCTGCCATTGCCTCCAGTTCATTAGCCACTGAATGGGTGAAAGGAAAGACGGTAAGGTTGCTCACAAATCTGACAGAATGAAATTGCATTGGCCCCAAGCCTGTCTCTCAAAGGGTCTAACGGGTCAAAAACAAGCAATCATGATTTTTTTTTCATATTCTAATTTTCTTTAAATTTCTACACAAATGTTGATTATATTATCAATTCTTCAAATTGGGAATTATGGGTCTTTCTACTAGGTGTCGGGGTTTTTTTGTTGTTAATCATTTTTATTTGTTAGTTTGGGTGTTCTGTTAATTACATACAGAAAAGACCCTCACCTGTCCCTATAACAAAATAGAATTTAAAAGAAATCTTTGGCTTTCTCTCAGGTTACTGATGCTCTTGTAATTTCTCAAGTCAGAGAGTTGTTGTATGATAATTATTTTCTTGTTTATGTCCTCTCATCATGTTTCAGGAAGGATTCTAGGTGGCTTACAAGAATTGGTGAAATAAACTAGCCTGTGTTAAAAGAAAGATTAAAGAATCAAAAATACCACAAGGGTGGGGGCAAAATGAACAACGAAATCAGAACAGTGATCCAAGTGGCTGATCGCAGGCCCTCTAAAGGCAGAGATAATAAAGAGCTAGAACTTCTTTTCTATCCCTTTCTCTCCCAAGTGTCTTTCCTCAGTAGCTGCACGCATAAAAGGTCCCAAACTCAGTGAAGAGTTGGACTTTCTAAAATCCAGTTGCTATCAAAACTTCTCAGATAAGCCAGCCGGCAGGGCATTCATCTTTGCTGCCCCAAGGGATCCAGTTTAAGGAGCTGAGTCATGGAGGAGCATGCTTGGGAGCTGGCCAGCTCCACAGCAGAGCGGTTTGCCAGGCCACATGCCACCTGCTTCCTGTGGCTCAAGGCCTGGCTGGCAAGCTTCTCTGGGCCAGGAAGCTCAGACCTAACCTGCTCTGGCAGGAGGTAGCTCTGAAGGGATTTGTCAGGAACTGTCCTAAGGGGAAGGGAGAAATGAGACAAGGCACCTATGCTCCCAGAACCTGTCCCATGGGGGACTGTGAACTGTGATCAGAAAATGGGAGAGAGGACATTTCTTTAACCTTAAGATCTCCCATATGAGTTTCAGGAGAACCTGAATCAACCAAGAGGGGTTAGCAGAATTGGGAAATTGAGGGATAGTCAGACATAGCCAGGGAGTCCGGCTGTTGGAAGATCTGACTTTCTCTAAGGCAGTGGGGCTCTGTTCCACATTGGCGAGGACCGGCCTGCCTCACATCGTCCCCCAGGGCTGTCAGCCAGACCCCGGGCATCCACTTCAGTTGATCTAGAGGAGATGCTCCAAAGAAAGCGCTCAGCCTGACCCGGCTGTGCCACTGCCACAGTGCCACTTACCTGACATCTTCCCAACCTCTCTGATGCCATTTGGTACTTCTAGTCTAAAGGATTTATTCTTTTTTTTTTTTTTTTTTTTTTTTTTTTTTTTGAGACGGAGTTTCGCTCTTGTTACCCAGGCTGGAGTGCAATGGCGCGATCTCGGCTCACCGCAACCTCCGCCTCCTGGGTTCAGGCAATTCTCCTGCCTCAGCCTCCTGAGTAGCTGGGATTACAGGCATGTTCCACCATGCCCAGCTGATTTTTTGTATTTTTAGTAGAGACAGGGTTTCACCATGTCGACCAGGATGGTCTCGAACTCTCGACCTCGTGATCCACCCGCCTCGGCCTCCCAAAGTGCTGGGATTACAGGCGTGAGCCACCGCGCCCGGCAAGCTAAAGGATTTATTCTAACATTTCATATGGAATGTTAGGATGTCAGAGAAGCTAATATTCACAAACCCAGCATAGGAAGTCGCTGCCTTTTAAGGAAAAGATTCCTATTACAGGCCACAAACAGATCCCTAGAGACTTCTCACAGGTTCCTTCCTGGCTTATAGAAGTGTCTGGGCTGTCTTTGCTTACCCAGGCCAGGCAGTGTAGCTGTGTATACTTCATACTTGAGAATCCCAGCTGCAGCTTTGATACAGTGGGAGTCCTGAGACGACCCTTAGCCCTTTGTTTGAGTTGTTAAACAGAAATCATCCCCACCAACCCTGAGGGCCTCTTTGGCCTCCCTTTTTTATTGTCTGGGGCTCGCAAGATAAAGCTTTGCTAAAACTGCCCATCTTCCTGTTATGCCTCTCAGGTGGAGGAAGCCTTGACTATCAAAAATACAGATATCGCCAAGGAGCTCTGCCTTCCTCCCGTGAAACTGCACTGCTCCAGTAAGTCTCTGCTCTCAGTGCCAGCCAGCTGGGACACTTGGCACTAATTTTGGCTTGAATTTGCAACAGTCCTTTTAGGTCATGGAGCCCATCTTTATAACCCTCAGAATTAGAGATCATGAGTCTGTCCTTATAACCTCAGAGGGTTAGAGCCCCCGTGGTCTCACATTCATCTCTAAGAGAATCATGCCAGAAGGAGGTATGTACCAGCAATCATACTAAGCACTTGATGGGTATAATTTCTAAACCTCAGAAATATCCCTGCGTGCACAGTAGGTGTCATTACTTCCCTCTTGCGGATGAAGAAGCTGAGGCTTGGGTTAAGACACCTACATCACATGGCCAATAAGTGGGAGAGCCAGAATTTAAGCTCTAATTCTGTGATCCCAGAATCTGCTGTTTCCAGCAAAGGAGAAAACTCAGCTTTCTGCATAATCCTGTTTCCTGTGTGTTTCATCACTTCCTCTCTGGAAGCTATTTCTGTTGGAGTCTGTTTCTGTCTATATGGAACAACTAAGCCCAGTGGTCAATGTCCCCTGCTCTGCTGTCCTTTAAAAAAAGCCCAGATGCCTTAAGACTTACACTTGGCTTTCCAGTTGGGTCTGTCTATTACATCTAATTGTTTTTGTTGTTGTTTTTTTTTAATCATTTCTTAACCTTCTCAGGGAAAGAAGGAATGAGAAGCAGACTTAACGCATCAATGGAGGTTTACTAACCAAATTAGTTAAAAATCATCAGAGAGTCAGGCCTCTTGCCAGGGTAATACTCACAGGAGAAGAGCCAGGTGCTGGGGTAGACACACTAACTCATTCTTCAGGAAGCCTGGTCAGACCCAAGTTCTTTCCACTTGATCTGGAATTTTAAGTACCCATAAGGAAACATCGCTTGTAAACATTTTCATGTGGTTTCAGGAAAACCCCAGCCCTTTTATTAGGCCTTTTTAGATGCTGAAACCTTTAGCTGGTGTTCTCTGCTATTTGCTTTCTGCTGTCCTTCCAGCTCCCTTTTGATTTTCCCTATAGCCTCACGTTGAATATTGACTCCTAAATAAAAGTGGTCAAACTCTCGATCACTAGAGGGTGATATGGCAAATGCCATCCCATCAACAGATTGACATCATCTTTTTCCAAAGGACATGTCAACTTTTTATCATGACATGATTTTGTCCAAAGCCAGACTTTAATGGGAGCAGGTGAGAACTAACATTTGCCATGTCCCTACTATCTGTCAGACATCTTCTCTAAGTCCCCACACTATCCTGACAAGAAAAGCATGATTATCTCAGTTCTATAGAAAGGTTTGAAGACCCTAAGGAATTAGCCTGGGATCACAGATATTTAAACCCTACTCTGTCTCCAGGATCACCCACAGGAGTAGTTCAGCTCAGGAGGCAGCTCCTGACCTGCCCGGCTACTCCTCTCCCCAGCTTTCTGGCTTGGTTACCCTGTTAGTCCCTGCCAGCACCACTGCCTCTCAGCTCTTAAAGATTCTATTCCCAAGACCATTTCTTCTGCATCTAGAAACTAAGGCTGCTTTCCTTCTGTTACTTCTAGTGCTGGCTGAAGATGCAATCAAGGCCGCCCTGGCTGATTACAAGTTGAAACAAGAACCCAAAAAAGGAGAGGCAGAGAAGAAATGAGCCCTCCCTGGGCGAAGCCTCCAGGAGGCTACACCAGCTGTTTCCCACCTGCTGTGCAATCACCTTAGATGTTCAGAAGCCGCTCCCTCTACACTGAAGAGCTATGAGATACGCACAATACTTTCTGTTCATGTTATGACTTATGCAAGCAAAATACACAGTTTCATTGTTCTGAATCCATGGTTTCTTTAAGCCCACTCTTATCGCCTTAACCTAGTTAATGTATATTTTGAATTGTGTGTATGGCCTCAGAACTGAAATTAATAATGAAGACTCAAGTTTTGATAGCCCATGAAGTGTATAAATATCATAATTTTACCTGATTGATTTGGGGGGAAATTACCAGTAGAATGCCTTGGTCTGATTATTTGATAGAACCAATTGCTGTACATAAAACATCTGCATATATATATATAAAATAATAATAAAATAATGGAAGATGATGGTGTTCTCTAGTAAGCCTTGTCTCTTGGGCCCATCATTCACTCCAAAGTGGTACCCAGAGCCCCTTAGAGTTCCCAAAGGCTGACCGCAATGGCGTACACAGCTCTCTAAGCAAACAACAGTAAAGGTCATGGACAAGATTTTTTCCAAAGACAAATATACATAATTTTTTTGGAACAAGGATGAAAAGAGATGATTATCACTTTTCATTGTTCTTTGTGAGATAATAGTCGACCGCTCAAAGTGAGTCTTGATGATTCGTTTTATAATTTCACTCGTTGCTGAAATCTAAGACGCACTGGTTTAGCACCCTAAAGTGGCGGACCAGATACGTAAAGAGCACCTGGGGAATGAGTTTAAAAGGCAGATTTCTAGGCCCACAGTTCTGACTTCTGTCGGGGCAGATGACTCTAGAGCCCCTGACATTTAACAACCTCCTGGGTCTTTTGCGGTCACAAGTAAGCCAAACTTTAGGGAATAAACTTCTGAATGTTTGGCTCTGCACAGCTGTAGTATTCAAGTGGTTCATTCTGAACTGCCTGTGCCTGCAGAGTGTACCTAAGGTTGTTTAAAAAACATTCATCCCTGGCTTGGGCATAAATGAGTCTAATCATGGTCCCTCCTTCCCTCATGTCTCCCTATTCTTGGCTACCCTTAGTCATGCAAATCCCAATAAGGACGCCCTATCTTCTAGTGAAAATGGGTTATTGAGATACTACCACAGTCTCAAATGTTCAAAGGTAAGATATGTTTGTTTTTTCTGGTGGTGGCTTTTTTGTTCAGGCGTAGGCTGGCTGCCTCTTCTCTTAAATATACCTCCTTTTTTTTTTTTCTTTTATGCTTTGGGTTCTGGTCGAGGGGACAGAACTTCAAAGACTGTTCCTCTGTAGTCAGTCTGTAAAGGCAGCCACAGACAGGGCCTTTATAGGAATCTCAAATTAGAACCCTGGGTAGAACCATGTAAAATTGTCCTGTGTGGCGCGTTCTGCTATTTAATTCATAGTCCCTCTAGGCTGAGCTTGTCTCTCCCTTCTTTTATTACATGTGGCACCACCACAATTCCCCACCACTTTTCTTTGTGATTTTTTTTTTTAATGAGACATTTCTATTCCAGTTAAAGTTGAACATCAGGAGGAGCTTGTAAACAACCAAAGCAATATTCCCAGGGTAGCCCAAACCTTCAGATGTGGTTACATTGTTAAAATGAATGGATATTTTTTAAATTCACATTAAAGACACCTTTCCCCAAACAAATCTAGTTTGAGCCACACGAGGGCATCATGTGCCCTTCAGTGAGCTCAAGTCTAGGGACTTTTGCAGGCTCGAAATAGGTCTTAGCATCTCTAAATAAATCCCTCCATGGAAAACCTCAGCAGACCAATTAAAATGGTCTGTCAAGCACCCGTGCGCCGTGCCAAGCCCTTAAATTTGTAATCCTGTTAATTCTCATGACGGCCCCCTGCGATGGGCATTGTTTCAAACAAGGACACTGACTCAAGAGGCCAACTGACTCTTAAGCCAGCTGGCTTGACTTGGGTGACCCAAAGCCCATTCGTCTGCCTCACCCCTCCTGGCAGATCACACGAGGGATTCAAACTGCACATCAGAGGCTCACCTGTGCCTTGAACATTCAGTGAAGAAGCTGAACCAACACAGGTTGAGGGGCCTGGGCACTGGCATTAACTGATGGGCTGGGTGGGTTTATGGTGGGTGGGTAGATGGATGGATGGATGGATGGATGGGGAAGCAGAGGTTCCAAATGACTTGCCTCAAGGCACACAGCTAGGAAGTGGTAGAATCGAGCTCTGGCTGAGGTTTTCTGCCCACCTCCACCCCTCCTGGGTGCCACACTACGGACGTGACCACATCTTTTTTTTTTTTTTTTTTTTCGAGATGGAGTTTTGCTCTTGCCCTGGCTGGCGTGCAATGGCACTATCTTGGCTCACCGTAATGGGTTCAACCAATTCTGCCTCCGCCTCCCAGGTAGCTGGGATTACAGGCATGCACTACCATGCCCAGCTAATTTTTCCATTTTTAGTAGAGATGAGATGTTGGTCAGGCTGATCTTGAACTCCCGACCTCAGGTGATCCACCCATCCCAGCCTTCCAAAGTTCTGGGATTACAGGCGTGAACCACCACACCCAGCCGATATGACCACATCTCTAATGTAACATTTCCTAAGTGTGATTCTTGGACCAGGGCCACCTGGGACCACATCCAAATACACAGTTTTAGAACCTCACATTAAGCATTGTCCTGTAAAAACGACTCATCTCTTTTTCTTAAAAAGACAAGAAAATAAGGCTGACTTCTCAAGACTTTAGGCGCCTTAAACTTGAGGCAAGAGTGCAGACCTTGTGTCTATCCTCATGACAGCAGAGAAGACTTCTAGGTCCCACCAAGTTTTGGTGGTGTTAGAGGACCCCTACAGATGAGTTCCAGCCCCAACCAAAGATGGATGTTGAGCACGTCCCCTGCCAATGGCTCTTTGTGACCTGTCTGCTTGCTTTCTCCGCCCTCTGAGATGACATCAGCCAGACCCTCAAAAGGCAACCTCCGTAGAGAAGATCATCTCCACCCAGGGAGGAAGCAGCAGGGCAGAATGGAGTGAGCTTTGAGCACTGACTCAAATGCTGGCCACCACTGTGTGACCCCGAGCAAAAGACTCAACCTCCCCAATCCTCAGTTTATTCATCTGCAAAATGGGAACGATAATAGTACCTACCTAATCAGGTAGAGGTGATAATTAAATGAGATAATACATGGAAAGCACATGGCACATAAAGAGTGCATTGTTGGCCAGGTGCAGTGGCTCATGCCTGTAATCCCAGCACTTTGGGAGGCCAAGGCAGGAGGATTGCTTGAGCCCAGCAGTTTGAGACCAGCCTGTGAGGCAGGATAGGGGGTCAAGGAAGTGACCATGTCCTCAAAGTGCAGCATCAGTGGTGACCATTCAGTCAACAAAATAAGCCTCAGCATTCGCCTTGTAATTGACTTCACTCAAGCAAAACTATCTTCAGAAAGGACTTTTCCCTCCAGAGAGCATGCTCACTTTGATTTTACCAGTCCTCAAACTGACTCTTTGCTCATGAAAATAGTAAAAACGAAACATCCCTGGGTGGAGATTCAAGATGCTAACGAGACATGTGACGTATGAACAAGCGTACTGTGCATGGGCACTGAGAGGACTGCCCAGAACATGCTTACTAGTAACGCCTCTCCCAACTCGTTACGAATAATCATGTAAAACCCCCATAAAGGAAGTCTCCCAGCAATAATCAATGTTGTCTTTTCCTTACAAGCAGCCTGCCCTGAATCCCCTCTCTCTCAGGGTGTCCGGTCCTTTCTCTACCTAACTTTCAAAATGTTCTTTTTCCTCTGCAATGAATTACTCTATACTGCACCTCCCCTTTGCTGTGTGTCTCTTGTTTAAATTCTTTTAAACTAAGAAGAACTCAGATCTCACAACAGCTGTCAACACCTGGGCAAGATGGCAAGACCCCAACTCTACAAAAAAATAAAAAATTAGCTGGCTGTGGTGGCATGCACCTGTAGTCTCTGCTACTTGGGATTCTGAGGTGGGAAGATCCCTTGAGCACAAGAGTTCAAGGATGCAGTGAGCTGTGATGGCACTACTGCCCTCCAGCCTGGGTGAGGAAGTGAGACCCTGTGTCCAAAAAAAAAAAAAAAAAATGACTAGGCGCAGTGTCTCATGCTTGTAATCCCAGCACTTTGGGAGGCCAAGGCAGGTGGATCACAAGGTCAGGAGTTCGAGCCCAGCCAATATGGTGAAACCTTGTTTCTACTAAAAAAACATAAAAATTGGCCAGGCGCGGTGGCTCAAGCCTGTAATCCCAGCACTTTGGGAGGCCGAGGTGGGTGGATCACAAGGTCGAGAGATCGAGACCAACCTGGTCAACATGGTGAAACCCTGTCTCTACTAAAAATACAAAAAATTAGCTGGTCATGGTGGCGCGTGCCTATAATCCCAGCTACTCAGGAGGCTGAGGCAGGAGAATTGCCTGAACCCAGGAGGCGGAGGTTGCGGTGAGCCGAGATCGCGCCATTGCACTCCAGCCTGGGTAACAAGAGCGAAACTCCGTCTCAAAAAAAAAAAAAAAAAAAAAAAAAAAAAAAACATAAAAATTAGCTAGGCGTGTTGGCCCATGCCTGTAGTTCCAGCTACTCAAGAGGCTAAGGCAGGAGAATCGTTTTGCTGGTGGAGGGTCTTGCCTCAATGCTGACAGGTGCTGACTGGTCAGGCTGGAGGTTGTTGAAGGTTGAGGTGGCCGTGTTGAAGTCTTTTTTTTTTTTGGAGTCTTGCTCTGTCACCCAGGCTGAAGTGCAGTGGTGCGATCGATCTTGGCTCACTGGCTCACTGCAACCCCCATCTCCTGGGTTCAAGCAATTCTCCTGCCTCAGTCTCCCAAGTAGCTGGGATTACAGGCATGCACCACCATGCCCAGCAAATTTTTTTATTTTTAATAGAGACAGTGTTTTATCATGTTGGCCAGGCTGGTCTTGAACTTCTGACCTCATGTAATCCACCGTCCTCAGCCTCCCAAAGTGCTGGGATTACAGGTGTGAACCACTGTGCCCAGCCGCAACTTCTTAAGACAACAGTGAAGTCTGTCACTTTGCATGCCTTTTCCTTTCACAAAAGATTTCTCTATAACATATGGTATTACTTGATAGCATTTTACCCAGAACTTCTTTCAAAACCGGAACCAATTTTCTCAAACTCTACCACTGCTTCACTAAATTTCTTTCTTTCTTTCCTTTCTTTCTTTCTTCTTTCTTTTTCTTTCTTTTCTTTTCTTTCTTTCTCTTTCCTTCCTTCCTTCCTTCCTTCCTTCTCTTTCTGTTTCCCTGCCTCCCTCCCTCTCTCCCTCCCTTCCTTCCTTCATCCTTCCTTTTTTTCTTTCTTTCCTTATTTCGAGTCAGAGTCTTGCTCTGTCACCCAACCTGTCGTTCAGTGGCACGACTTCCACTCATTGC